GTAACTGACAGACAGTGTTCACAACTATAAGGCTTATTAGGGAATTTGTTGTTGTTGTTAAGTGCCATAGAGTTGGTTCCAAATCTTAGCAATCCTATATAGGGTTCTGAAGAACAGCTGGTGGGTTTGAACCACTGACTTTGCAGTTAGCAGTCCAGTGCTTATCCTACAGTGTCATACCAAAACTACATTAGGGAAGTTGTTGTTGTTGCTATGTGCCATTGAATCAGATCCAGCTCATAGCAACCCTCTACAGAGTCTCCAAGGAGTGGCGGGTGGGTTTGAACTGCTGACCCTGTAATTATAAGTCCAGTGCTTATCTTAGAGAGCACCACACCAGGGCTCCATTTGAGAACTTATCAGATTACTATTCATAGTCAGAAGTGCTGAGGATGCAGTTCTTCCAATCAGTGCAACCTCTTCTCAGCCATGCCCCATGCACCTCTCTCTTGTGCTTGGCCTCTCAGCCATGTGCCCCCTGGCCTCTCTGCCCTGCTCAGCAATGTTAGAAAATGCTTTTAGCTCTGCCAATACATACCTAAAGGGCACTCCATTCCACCATAAACCTGGGCCTGAAGATACTCAGCTCTAATTTGGTGGGTTGGCAAACAGATTCCCCAATTAAGTTAGGTACCCCGCTCCTCAAGTGAGCCTCCTGCTTGAAGGCATGTGATTTTTGCCCTTTGTTTTATTTATATGTTGGATTCTGTTTATTGTTATTCTAATACTGAATCATTCCTACATTTTTGGTAAAGATTTCACTTAGTCATAATGTATTTTTAAATATATACACATATATATAAGGAGCTCTGGTAGCATAGTGGTTATGAATTGGGCTGTTAACCTCAAGGTCAGCAGCTCGAAACTACAGGTTGTTCCACGGGAGAAAGATGAGGCTTTCTGCTCCTGTAAAGATTTACAACCTTGGAAACCCTGTGCAGGGTCTATGAGTCAGAACTGACTCCATGATACTTAACCACAACAACAACACATATATATAATAGAGAGAGACACAGAGAGAGTCGGATTCTTTTGGCTAGGATTTTGTTGAGAATTTTTGTGTCTATGTTCATGAAGGATATTGGTCTATAATTTTCTTTTTTGTGATGCTTTTGGCTGGGTTTGGTATCAGAATTATGCTTAATTCATAAAATGAATTCAGGAGTTTTCCATCCTTTTCTATATCCCTAAATAGTTTGAGGAAGTTTTCTTCTTCAGATTGTGTTAGTTTAGATAGGTCGTGTGTATCTAGAAATTTGTCCATTTCTTATAGATTTTTCAA